TCGGTGTTTGTTTATGGGATGTGTTGTTAACTCTTTGATTTCTGTAGTGTCGTTGCTATGGTTGTTCTGTTCTTGATTGTCTAAGGGTGACGACGTGTTGACTACTTGCGCGTAGCTTCGGCTTCTAACGGTGTTGGTGTTACTGTGGTTATTGTTAATAAACAATGACCATGTAATGACATGCTGTGTATTTGGTGTTGACATAGATTCTGTGCTGTGCTGTTGCGTGTGGAAATTGTTGTGTGTCCTGTTTCGAATCGGCGGGAAAAGTTTGCTTTGTAGTTGTTTTCTGGATTTCTTGTGCTGTTACTTTGGGTATGGTGTAGTGATTGTCAGTTGGTGTAGTGGTTAGCGCATCCTCGTCCTTATGACTATTGTGGTTGCTGTTGTTGATGTTATGTGGGGTAAATGTGTTCCATAGGTGGTTGGAAAATTCTTCAGCTTGCTCTGCAAAACCCCATCCCACCTCTCAAATTGTCTCCAGAAAAAGCCTCCCTCATCCAAGAAGCAGGTATAACGATACAATGATTGCTGATACCATTCTTATTGTCTTCTTTATTTTTTTTGTGGCTTTCCATAGGGAGTAGTTGTAGTTCTCGTGTGCAGATAATGCCTCGACTTTGTGAACTTTGTGAACTCGTTGTTGTTGTGCTCTTTTATTTTGTTTTTTATTTCCTTTGCGAATTTGTTTAGGTGAAACAACAGGAAAACTAGACATTATCGACACCCAATTTTCCAAAACACACGCACAAAACGAACATATGGGCCGAGAATAACTAAATAGAATTATCATCGCCGAAACAAACAAACTCAAAAATGAAATGGAACAAGACATAACGCTAAACAAAACAGTCTGCATATTCTCAAACGAAAACACCGCAGATAACCCCAACCAACCAGAACCAGAAATAAACTATTTCACAAATTACAATCAACTAAACAAAATCTTCTCCAAACTAAACAACAAACCTCCGGCTTCGACGGCATCCCAAACATTTTACTCAAGCGCCTACCGAACAAAATAAAATGGTACTAAACAACTCTTCAACAATGCACTAAACAACTTATATTTCCCCAGAAAATGGGAAAAAGCCAAATTGATAGCTATTACAAAAAAAAATAAAGACGGCTCATCACCCGCAAACCTACGACCTAAAAGTCTCCTCCCCAACATAAGCAAAGTATTTGAAATAACCATAAACAACCCCCTAACATCCTTCTATACAAAAAATGACATAATCCCAGAAAATCAATTTGGCTTCCGGCACAAACACTCTACAATTCACGCAATAAATAAACTGACGTCGGACATCTGCTGGGCACTAAACGCAAAACAACGAGTAACCGCCTGCTTAATAGACCTCAAAAAAGCTTTCGACACAGTTTGGATCCCATGTCTTATATACAAATTGATCAAGGAAAACTTTCCTAAATACCTAATTAATATAATCTGAGACATGATCACAAGCAGAACATTCGTAATGATCGAAGGTTCACACACATCAAGCAAAAAATTCTCCATAAAAAACGGTCTGCAACAAGGTACAGTAAATTCCCCGTTACTTTTCAGTATTTATAATAGTGACTATAATAGTAAATATAATAGGCCGCAAGACCAACACAATAAAAACGGAACTACAAGAACTTTTTGAGAAAGTTAACGATTACTACCACACATGGAAACTAAAAATCATCACAAGCAAATGCGAAACCATACTGTTTAGACTCAAGTCAAGTGAAATCGGCCCAATAGAAAGAGAATACTGCAAAAAATTCAAACTAAGAGAAAAAGCAAACAAAGGGGCACTCATACCACACAAAAACTGCGTAAAATACCTAGGAGTAAACATAGACTACACATTAAACTTCAAGCAGCACACCGAAATTCAACTTTCTAAGGCCAATAAAGCATCCTGGAAAACAAAAAAACTATTCTACTTCAAACATCTCAACAGCAAAGTAAAAATACTATGCTACCAAGCACTAATCAGACAACATATCAGCCTTTCAAATGGAAAAAATTCGCATATTCGAAAGAAAATGCATCAGAGCTTGCTTGAGTACTTACAGGTCCGAACACAGCGGATTCAAAAAATACAAAATAATATACGACCTAGCCAACGTTCACCGCATAGACTGTCACATCCTAAAGCTAATAAGAAACCACTTCGCGCAAGCTGCAAAGATAAAAGAAAACAGCTTAATCTTCAGTTGCTTATTTCCAAACGACGCATATTACAAAAACACACTGACAACAGGCTACATCCCCCCTGAAGCTTTCCTATACCTAGACGAAAAAAACTGCCTCCAAGACCAAAATAATATCCCAATAATCTATCACATAAAAAGAAAAATAGGGATCAAAACTATACTCTACGAAGAAAACTTAAATGGACAGACCGCAGACACTAGGTGGAGATATAACATGGCCCTCCCTCTGAGAGACACTAAAGACAACCACTGAGAAAACACAAAAAAATATTGGTGGATACCGAATCCATAATACAATAAGAGAGAAAACCATTAAACCGACAGAACTCAATTCTGCCCCCGTATAACACAGGTGTAAACATTGTAAATATTGTACATTTTGTAAATAAAGCTATTTAACATCCCCCCTCCCCCTCCCTCTCATCCCGCCCCTCCCCAAAGTTACACAGCACCCAAAAAGTAGACTACCGAAGCGTCCTGTTTTACGACCAAGTTTTCAGGACAGAAAAAACAATAAAAAACAAAATCACATAAAAGCTCCGCTCCCTAGCGGCTGAAATCCAATGAATATATTAAAACACAAAAATGTAAATTGCCGATACATAACAGTATGGCTACGTCGTACCATCGCGTATCGATACTTTCGAGTTTTTAAAAGTGATTTAAGGGGACGACGGCTATTTATTACCAAGGACAATCGAACGACATGCACTTTGTTGGAACTAGTATACTCCTTTCCTTTCCTAAAGCTCTACGCACTTTATTATTTTATTGTTTGTGAACGGTTAGTCGGATATTCCAACGTCGCACATGGTTATGTAAGGTTTATGTAGGGGTTGGACATTCTTCTTTTTTGAAACATATACACACCAATTACTTCTTCTTTCCACCTGCTCCATCTCAAGAAAATGCGAAATTAGGAAATTCGAGTATCTACCCCTAGCAACTTGTCTAACTTTAAACATCGTTTCTATCGTTTGTCTGTAGTAAAAATAAAATAAGACTTAAAGAAACACGAAGTTGTACAAATCATTCAAAAAACCAACACACTGCACAAGGATACTTATCTGGATCCTTCACATTAAGACATAACTGGAAATAAAAAAGCCGACACTGTGGCCAAAAAAGCAATAACTAATTGAACGAACGAAACTAAAGAACCAATCCCGTACCAAGATATGGACCACTACCAAAGAAATTAAAAACGACGACATTGTATAAAATTGTCTATATTATGTCTACAATACATAACACACTCAAGAACAAAAACCGATATAATTTTATTATATTGAAACCAAAATACAGTGTTATTGTACAATATTTAAGAAGCAATTTTTCAGTGTGTAATATTCACATAGCAGAGATCTTGTTTTACAAACAAAAAAAATTACAAAAAAGAGCCATCGATTTATGATTTCATGTCGGATCTTCTAAAACTTACATGGCCGATGGAATGTACACGGCATTTTATAGACTCAGGAAAAGGAAGTTCTTCTAAGTATTGTGCATAATAAAAAACAAACGTTGAAACAGAAAGTGTGTAATAAATATTTTGTGCATAATTTGTCTCTATAATTTTGTGTTACATACCACAACTTTGGCGATAATTATTGTAACAAACAATTTCAGTTGTGATTTCAAAATTTCAAAATTTCGAGTGACTCGTGCTTGCAACAAATAACTCATTGATATTATCAAATTAAGTATAAATGAATAATTATTTTCCTGGAAATTGTTGCGTTAAAGTCAATCATACAGAAATTATAATTGTTAAGAAACAGTAATGTTTTGAAGCTACCACGATTGAAATTTCATTCCATATAACTTTTGCTTTAATATTATTGTCCTGTAATAATACCATCACAATGTTATCATTCATAATTACTGCAAGCAATAATTTTTCAATTCTTCACTAAAACATTTAATTCTTCTTGCTTACCTTTATTAATTTTCTTAATTCGAAAAGAAATGTTACAGTCTACTTATAATAACATGTAAGGGTCATAACAGCTATGATTTTAAATGAATAATAACAAGAAGCATATTTACGATACAAAATTAATTACAAGAATCTTCGTTAAACCTTCGTGAAGAAATTTAAGTTGCGCTAAGATTGTATTTTAACACTGTATAACCAAAATTATGATGGCTTATGAGAACAAAAAATTATGATTTAATACGTTACTGTAGGCTTCCGATACTAATATTTTATATGCAGTTAGATTTAACAAACATACAGTTCACGAAAGTATTTAGCATAGAATATTAAATATTTATCATAGAAGGCGTCTATTGTGTGTGTAATACAAAACAATTTAACATTTTATTAACAATGCAATAAGACACTGCACAATCATAATTATATTGATAAAATGCAGAAGGTACCTGAAGTCATGTGTATACAGAAGTTACAAAATATTTATAATATCATACATATCGCAAAAATCATAAAAGTATTTGAACAATTAATTATTTGTTAGTTATAATGAATGAAATTAGTAAAATCGCCATGAACATTAATTATATGTTTAAGGCCATTATTGCTTTATGCTAATTTTTTATTAAATGTTCGTTTGGGATAAAAGTGTTGCAATCTCTATATACATTTTCAGATTGGTTTCACATCTTACCAATATCATTACAATAATCGTATCTTAGTGTAATATAAAGAAATTTCGAAAAGTATCGTATAAAATACACAGTACATTTATAAAAATTTTTTATGTTAAGTGTTTAAATATTTCCGTGATGCTAATATCGTCGAATACTGTAGATATGTATGTATGCATAAATGATGTTACTTTTAAATCACATATAGAGGTTCAGATTAATTTAATGAAACAAACTATTACTAAAGATACATTGAAGTCTTATAAGGAAAAATAATTCAACTTATCCGTTAAATAATTTGAAGAGAATATTTAAATTATTAATATACACGAATTTGCGTAAAATACTATAACATCGACAGAATTCAACCTCTTCTATCCAAATACCTAAATGTTGCATTATACATACATACATTAATATTTAACACGTATTTACAAAATCATGAAAAAACTCTTAATATTTGTTTCATAAATTTCAGGTATAGGTCGTTTTTCGTGGTCTACGTTTAACCATAGCGACAAAGTGATTATTTTCGTATGAGTAATATGCTTTCGAATAATCGAACAATGTTTTGAAATATTTGCACGCGTGAGGATGGAGTCCTCGCTTCGACAATTTTAATTGCTCCATTGGATAACGCGCAGATATTACAATTATTTATGTAACACTAATCCGCTTCGTTTTATTGTTACGCGGTATTCCTTTTTAGCCAATCTTGAATCGTATTGTGATTGGCTTCCACCCATCGTATGTTCGCTTCAGCTTGTTCTATCGATTGTTGTATTGACCTCGTTGCACTTCCAAACTCCCCCTTGTGTTCATTAGTAAATTCCAGCAGCTAAATATCAAAAAATATATTTATTAGAATATGCTTATTTTTAAGAAATTAAATTGATGAACATAAGAATACTTCATTATTAAATCTTTCTGCAATACACAATGCAATGTAACATTCCAACAAACTAACGAGACGAAACTATTGTGAAGGAAAATGTGAAGTTTGAACGCCTTGAAGGGCCGCTTGGCCTTCGTCACTCTCAGCTGTGGAAACAGAAAGCGTCAACACTTAGGGTGCCATAAATTCAGTCCTTCCCCGTGCAGCATCGTGCGCTGGTGGGTCGCAAAAACATTTTGTGACTGCGATGCCTAGTATATTCTTTGTACAATCGTCGACGTGCACGAACGTCGAAATAAAGCTACGCGAGTTCGTGTACTAATATTTGTTAGTTTTATGAGATTTTCTATTAGTATATATAGAACACAATATTCAGCTGAACATGATAATATTTTTATGAGCTTGAAGTACTTAATTTTTATTTAAAAAAAGCCATTAAATATCAAATAAACTATTAAATAAGGTAAAAAAGAAACATTTACGACAAAATGAAATAGCAAAATAAAAGTGGGGAAGATCAGAGTAAATAATGCAATTCTTAGTTTTCGGTTTTATAGCTGTTATTCACGAATTATCTTCTTTTAGTTTAATGGTAATTCAAGGGGAAATTTTCGAATTAAGCGTTTATTTATAATTGTAAATATTACAAAACGAATTCATTAATTAAAATAAATATTATCGTAATGTATCAAACCCTTTGTATTAAATCAAGGCTGAAGGAGAACTTAATCCTAATAAATATTTGTTAGCGGTAAAGCATTTTCGTGACGATATCCCACTGCTATTTAGCGTTATCGTAATTAATGATTGGGCTCAGGACTCAATAACGATTATGGAAGGGTGTTTGAGTGAATGTCTGGAATGACGATAGCCAATGACACGAAATCTCGGAGTTATGAGCTGTTGACGATGTTTAGAGTTTTAAAAGATTTATGAAATAGTATGCCAGCAAAATGGCAAGCGAATTGACATTGCATTCCTAAGAAATAGAGACTTTGTGCAAAGGATTTCGAGTCGGGAATACAGTGATGCCTTTTGATAAGCGGACTGTGAGGAAGTGTTCGAAGGAACAAAAGTATGAGGATCATCGTGAACAATTTAAGACGCTCACCTTTGCAATCATGAGACTACTTTAGAGAACGGGATTTTAAAAGTTAAAACGGTCTCCTTCAATATTCGTCGCAGTATTTTTAATTTTCTATGTCTATTGTAGCTTCGATGGCCGAGTGCGTCATAAACGCGGCATTTCCCGCTGAGGACTTCGAGCGCATCGAGCGCACGAAAGGCAGAAAATGCCTTGCGAGCAAGAATGCTGATTGGCAATTTTTTGCATTCGGTGAAAACCAATCAACGTGCGTTTTTCGGGATCTCTGTTTCGAGTCTTGTTGGATGCTCGGACGAGTTCAACATCATAAATATCAAAGAATCAGTCTCGTGTAATCGTTTAAAACGATTAGTTCTGTCTCGTCAGTGTCTTTTAATCGTTAACGTTTTTCCCACCAGATGTGGAGTAAGAATAGATTATTCTCTCAAGTTTCAAAGAGGAGAGTCTCACACAATCTCCCTTCTATGATAATATCTTCCCCTCCGGACATGGAACAAAGAATCGTTTCAATCTCTCAGCATTTGGAAAGGACAGTTCTATCTGTATTTGCTGACTCATCATCATCTCCAAATGTTTATGTACTCGACTTCAAGCCTTCGTGGAGACAAAATCATTCCAGCAATCGTAACGATCACTTGGTAGTCTTCCCAGCTGCCTTTCCTCACTCGTCAATGCCTCCAATCATTCATAGAGTTCCATCAGTCGAAATGATCAGTTGACAGTCCAGTGCGAAATTTTCAACCGCAAACAATATCTCCAAGCACTCATGGAATGAAGTAATCGGAGAACAATCAATGAATGGCTGCGTGCGGGTTTTTCGATAGCAAGCGGCATCGACACGCATTCATGGACGAGTATATCATTAACCATTCGTAACGTTCAGCTGTACATCGCGTCACAACAGGCACTTCATATCACATAATTATCCGCTTTCATGAATCTCGTCTCAGCAGTCGGGGACAATTCAAAACCTGTTCATCGTTCGAAGAATAACCTTTGGCGTCGTTGGTTGCTGTAACTACCATGCAACCAATACTCTTCCTCGTGAATCAGTTACCCAAGATTAATTCGGCGGATAACAAGTTACAGTGCAATGACATCGATTATCGGACGCGTGAGCACATAACTCGCGCACGTAACTCGCACACGAAATATATTGATGTCAAAGCGTGACCAATGTGGCATGCAATAGCACAAATATTAATAAGTATTAAATATTAATGAAAGGCAATACATGTTATCATTTGTCTGATGGATAATTCCACTTTTTGGGTAATTATTTAGAGGTATGACCACATTTTTAAATATGTCATTAGGAGCACGATTCTGAACAACTTTACCTGACAGAGGTATGAAATGATTATATGGCTCTCCTTAAAACAAAGATTAACCCGAGAAGCGGGGACAGGAGTATATAAGGTCAGCCTCTTTTGGACTGACGGAGTCAGAGTGAGAGTTAGAGTTAGACAGTTAGTTAGTGAGTCGTTGGACGATTGAGTTATCAGGAAGTTACCCGAATCGAGTAGCACGTTGATACGAGTCCTCCCATGGACCGTGGATTCGTCCGGTGACCTGCCATGTCACTTCGAGCCCAAACCCATCGTCATAAAGTCAGATTGGAACATTAAGACTATTTCTTATTTTTATTACTTAAGGGCGGCTACTTAAGGGCGGCTATAGTAAAAGTCTGGACTAGTGTATTGGGTTTTGTCCCAACATTCCGGACGGGAAATCCCGCTGTCTTTCCTTCTACATATATATATATATGTCGGAGATGAAAGAACACCGGAGCCTTTGGAATTTTGGATAATCCCGCAACATTGTAACCTAGAGTCTACTATAGCTGTAATTGAACAATTGTAGTTATTCAATCCGATTGTAATTGTTCGAGAGTTGTGATAATGAGCTTGGGCTCGAGGCGACAGTCAGTCGCCGAACGT